TTAAGAACGCAAAGATGAGACGCTTGGTAATAATGTTTGTCTCTGCAGGTGTGAGTGGTCTTTCCAGCTTCTTCAGGCTAGAAAACTCCGAGAGAGCAAAATTTTTTAAAATTTTAAATGTCTCTGTTTTTAACTGGAGGATAATTGCCTTACAACTTTGTGTTGGTTTCTGCCGCACATCCACATGAATCAGCCCTGGGTAGACCTGTGTCCCCTCCCTCTTGAGCCTCCCTCCCACCTCCCACCCCATCCCTCCCCTCTAGGTGTCGCAGAGCATCAGGTTTGAGCTCCCTGCATCATATGGCAAATTTCCACTGGCCATCTGCTTTACACATGGTCACGTGTATGTCTCCATGCTACTCTCTCAATGCGTCCCAACCTCTCCTTCCCCCACTGTGTCCACAATTATTGTCATAGTTTTACTCACTGTTGGGCTCTTGGGAGCTGTTGGGAGCAGCCTCTCCCCAGAGAGGGACTTTCTGGCAGCGGTACTTACCAGAACTTTCTGCTTTGAGTCTGATAAGAGAGGCTTCGAGAAGGCTTCTTTGTGCATCCGTTGCATCTCCAATGTCTTCTTTTAAAGTAATCCTCCTGACTACTGAGCCTGTGCTCCAGAGCCCCTGTGCCACAGCAGAAGCCTGTGACCCTAGAGTCCGTGCTCCCCAACAAGAGAAGCCCCCACTCCAGTACTGTTGTCAGGAGAATCCCATGGACAGAGGAGCGTGACAGGCCACAGTCCATGGACTCACAAAGAGTCAGACCCGACTGAATGACTAACACTAGACTTTTTTTTTTTTTAACCAACTTTGGGGATTCAAGTGCATCCTCAGTCAACCAACTAAAACTTTCTGATATAGGTTAAGCCTCCTCTTTCATCTTGTGTGGCTGGTTTTTTGGTTTTGTTTTTTTTCCTTTCAACTTCAGTTAGTTCAGTTCAGTTCAGTCGCTCAGTCGTATCCGACTCTTCGCGACCCCATGAATCTCAGCACGCCAGGCCTCCCTATCTATCACCAACTCCCAGAGTTTACTCAAATTCATGACATGGAGAGAATCAATAAACAATCTAACAGGAATAAAAGAGTTTTATTTGAGCCAAGCTGAGCACTATAGCCTGGGAGGCAGCCTCTTAAATTATTCTGAAGAACTGTTCTGGTTTTCTTTTTTTTCTTTTTTTTTTGGCCCTACTGCATGGCATGCGGGAGGAGGGGAGTGTGCAGGGTCCTTAGTTCTCAAACCAGGGATCAAACCCATGCCCACTGCAGAGGACGCACAGAGGACTGCCAGGGAATTCTCAGAACTGTCCCGCTGAAGCATGGCTTCCAGCACAGTCTTATGCCTCATCCAAACAGAGAACATACAGCACACACCACAGGGTGTATTCCTTCAAGTTTCAAAAAGACCGACTTAGTACATAGACAGCGAGACAGCAGGACCCTGGTGTCCAGGAAGTGAAGCTTATCTTGGAGAGACTGTTAACATGGATGCCATGAGAAGGGAGATGCTCATTCTTATCTTCAAACCAGATGCTCTTTACCTCAATGGTTAAAGCAGATGAGCTGTGAGGGTTAGACAGGCTGTCTTAGTTCACACACAGTTCAAGATGAACCATGTATAAGCAAAATGACTTCCCCATACCTCAATATGTGAACATTTTCTCCATCACAAAATCTTAGAACCTTATGATCTAGCAATTCTACCTCTGAGGATATGCCAAAAAGGACTGAGAGTATACCCATGGTCATAGCAGCATTTTTCACAATAATTAAAACATGAAAGTCACTCAAGTGCCCACTGACCAAAGAAAGGATGAGCCAATGTGATATGTACCAATAATAGAGTATTATTCAGCACTAGAAGGGAAGGGAATTCTAACACATGATGGATGCACCTTGTAGATATCATACTCAGTAAAATAAGTGTGACTACTCTTGAGAACTATTGTGTGATTCCATTTAAGTGAAGTCTCTAGAATCATCAGCTTCATAGAGACAGAAAGTAGAATGGTGATTGCCAGGAACTGGAAAAGGAAAAAGAAGGAACTGTTGTTTAATGGGAACAGAGATTCAGTGTTGCCAGGTGAAAAATTCTCTGGAATTTGGTTGCACAAAATATGGATATACCTAACATGACTGAGGGGCTTTCCAAGTGGCACTAGTGGTAAAGAACCCGGGTGCCCACGCAGGAGATGTAGGAGACCTGGATTCAATCTCTGGGTTGGGAAGATCTCCTAGAGGAGGAAATGACGACCCACTCCAGTATTCTTGCCTTGAGAATCCCACGGCCAGAGAAGCGTGGCAGGCTTGCAAAGAGTCTGACATGACTCAAGTGCCTTAGCACACAAACAAACAAAACATGATTGAACTGGACACTTAACATGAATTAAATGGTAAATGTTGTTATGTGTACTTTACTACATCAAAGAAAGCATCTCAGGGCCTTCCCTGCTGGTAGGGAATCTGCTTGTCAATGTGGGGGACTCAGGTTCGATCCCTGATCCAGGAAGATTCAACATGCTGTAGAGCAATTAAACCTGTGCCCTGAAATTCCTGAGCCCGTTCTCTAGAGCCAGGAGCCACGGCTACTGAGGCCACAGGGCACAGCTGGTGAAGCCCGCCCGCCCCAGAGCCTCTGCTCTTGTGTTTTGTGTGAGAATCAGTGGTGGCGGGGCAGGGCGGGGGGGGGGGGTGGGGGAGAGGAGGTTGGATCAGTGCCTGGAGGTTCTTGTGTGTGTCTAAGTCACTTCAGTCATGTCTGACTCTTTGCGACCCTATGGTCTGTAGCCTGCCAGGCTCCTTTGTCCATGGAGATTCTCCAGGCAAGACTACTGGAGTGTGTTGCCATTACCTCCTTCAGGGGATCTTCCCAACCCAGGGATTGAGTCAGCTTCTCCTACGTCTCATGCATTGACAGGCAGGCTCTTTATCACTCGTTTCTTTTTTGGACTGGAGCTCAAGCAATAGTGAAGATTGTCCTTATACAGGGCTTATGATATATGGGCCACCCACTTCAGTCTCTTGTACACCATCCGCCTTTTGAATCTATGGGTTCCTTATCTGCTGATATGAGGGAATTGTAAAGGACTTGCGTGTCAGCAGATGTTGGTGTCTGGAGGGGATGATGGTAGCTTGTTGTTGTTCAGTCACTCAGTCATGTCCGACTCTTCATGACCCATGGACTCTAGCACATGAAGCTTCCCTGTCCTTCACCATCTCCCGAGTTTGCTCAAGTTAATGCTATGTTGATTTGTATTAAATGACCTTAGGGTTGTTACACCCAACAACTCTTTGAAGCTGGTCTCTATTATTTATCATTGGCAACAACAACAGTAATGTTAAGTATATTTACATTGCTGTCCAGCCAATATGAAGAGCTCTTTTGTATCATGTAAAATGGAAACTGCCCCATTTAACAATACCTGCCCATTTCCCCCTTAACCCCAGCCCCTGGCAAACCACCATTCTACTTTCTGTCTCTATGGCTTTGACTCCTCTTGATACTTCATAGAAGTGGAATCATACAATATTTTTATAGTGGCGAGTGTCTTAAGGGTGGCTCCAAAGGTAAAGAATCTGCCTGCAGTGCAGGAGATCTGGGTTCAATCCCTGGGTTGAGATGATCCCCTGGAGGAGGGCATGGCAACCCACTCCAGTATTCTTGCCTGGAAATCCCCACGGACAGAAGAGTCAGAGGGGTTGCAAAGATTTAACTAACACACACAGACAAGGGAGTGACAGGAAGCTTTCTCCAAGCTTTCTGGGTCTTAATTACCTCTAGCTCATAAAGAATCCGTGAACCAAAGTGGCACATTTGGGAAGACATATTCTCATCCCTCTCACTTCTCTTCAAGCAAATCTTTGAGTGAGCTTGAAACATTAAAAATCTTTTTTATGTTTGAAGAAACCAAAGTTCACACAGAGAGAACTTGCCCAATGTGTCCTTTTACCACCTGCTCCCATCCCTCCATTCCTCCATGGAATTGAGCTTCCAGGGTCAAGGGCAGATGGACATCCTTGATAACTTTGTGCCCTGCTTTCTCAGCAGATGTAACTATGTCTACAATGCTGGGTCAGTATCTGTGCCGGTTTGGTCAGAAGCTGGTCCGCAGGAAGCCACAGTTCAAGGAGAAACCTGAGAGTCCCAAGACCCATCCTCCGAACATCCTGGACCTGGTGGTGATGGGTTTGGACAACATGTTGGGAGCTGGCATATACATCCTGATTGGTGGAGTTGCCAAATGTGTAGCTGGATCAGCAATCATCCTTTTCTTACTGGTGGCCGGCGTGACTACTGTGTTGTCTGGGCTCTGCTATGTCGAGTTGGCAGCTGGAGTAGAAATACCCAGTACTGTGTATTTCATCAGCTATGTCACAATGGGACAATTGTACGCCTTCATTACTGGCTGGAACCTCTTACTGTATTTAATTATTGGTGAGATGATGGAGAGGGGGGAGAAGTGGGTCTTAAGATGGAGAAAGTAGGAGAGATGACTGGGGGCTTCATCACTGATCAGAACTTTGTTATCCACCTTCGGGGCAGAGTTGGGAGAGGGGTAATGGTGGCAGGAAAACTGCACAACCTCATTGCATGCAGGTCTATCTTGCTTTCCTTAAACGATGGACGGAGAAACCAGAGGAAAGGAGCTGTAAGGAGTGGCTGAGAGGGAGGCAAGTCCCTAGGCTCATCCCCTGACCACAGTGAAGTCTTTGCTCAGCTGTTGCCTTCCTGGATTTTCCCTTACACCTCAACTTAAAAATTCAACTCTGATCTAGTCCCTCCTTGTCCCATTTACCTGTGTTTCTTTGTTTTCCATCACTTCTATCTCCTAGCATGTTAAATAGTTGACCTTTTTGTGAATCACCTGGGTCTCCCCTGTCCACCCCATGAGTGGACATGAGATCAGGTGTTTTTTTGCTCACCTCCTGCCCCAAATGTCTCACATGGCACATAATAAGGGTTCAGTTTCTGTCTGCTTGTAAACATTCCTCCTTCTGTTGCTGCAGCCACTGCCTGTATAGCCCGGGCCTGGAGTGCCACCTTTGACAGCCTGATTGGGAACCACATCTCTGAGGCATTAGGGGGAACTTTCTCTCTGCAAATGCCCTACTTCCTGGCCTCATTTCCAGACTTTCTTGCCCTGGGCCTGGTGCTGCTGCTCACAGGTGAGAAGGGACTAGAGACAGAAAGGGAAGAGAGGGGTATGGAGGGGGAGCTGGCATGGGGAATGCTTGGGGTGGTAGAAAGGTGGGGAATTAGGACTGGGAAAAAAGGGTTTGGAATAAGAAAGAGAGGAAGGCAAGACAGAGAGTAATTTTTCGTACCCTTGGACTATTGGTAATTTAGGATGGATCATTCTTTGGTGTGGGGTGCTGTCTTGTGCATTTCCTGTTTTTTAAAAAAATTGTTGTTGGGGGAATTCCCCAGTGGTTCAATGGTTAGGAGACTGTGCTTTCACTGCTGAAGTTTTTGGCTCAATCCCTCATCAGGGAACTAAGATCCCACATGCCAAGAGGGGAACCCCCCCCCCCAAAAAAAATCATTGTTGGATGTTGAGTAGCATCTATGATCTTTATGTACTAGGTACCAGTGACACCCAACTCCCAAACTGTGATAACTGGGATGTCAACAGACAGGGCCAGTGTCCCTTGGAGCATAAAATCACCCCAGATGGGAATCATTTACCTAGACCAACAAGTTTCTTCCTCTGTACTGAGATCAAAGCTGTGTGTGTGTGTTTTAACTGAGAGGAAATTCACATAAATTTAACCATTTTATTGTTTTTCCCAGCTTTATTGAAATATAATTCACTTCATGGCAAATAGATGGGAGAAAATGGAAACAGTGAGAGACTTTATTTTCTTGGGTTCCCAAATCACTGTGGATGGGGCCTGCAGCCATGAAATTAAAAGACACATGCTCCTTGGAAGGAAAACTATGACAAACCTAGACAGTATATTAAAAAGCAGAGGTATCACTGCTGACAAAAGTCCATCTAGTCAAAGCAATGGTTTTTCCAGTAGTCATGTGCAGATGTGAGAGTTGGGCTATCAAGAAGGCTGAGTACCAAAGAATTGATACTTTTGATTGTAGCACTGGAGAAGACTCTTGAGAATCTCTTGAGCTGCAAGTAGATCCAATCAGTCCATCCTAAAGGAAATTAGTCCTGAATATTCATTGGAAGAACTGATGCTGAAACAGAAGCTCCAATATGTTGGCCACCTGATGAGAAGAATTGACTCATTAGAAAAGACCCTGAAGTTGAGAAAGACTGAGGGCAGGATTAGAAGGGGACGGCAGAGGATGAGATGGTTGGATGGCATCACCAACTCGATGGACATGAGTTTGAGCAAACTCTGGGAGATAGTGAAGGACAGGGGAGCCTGGGGTGCTGCAGTCCATGGGGTCACAAAGAGTCAGACATGACTGCGTGACTGAACCACAACAACAACTGACACACAGCATTGTAAAAGATTAAGATGATTTGATAGACACGGATATTGTGAGATGATGGTCACAGTAAGAACATATCCATCTGCAAGTGTCTAATTCAGCGGCACTTAGTACATTCCCAGTGTGGTGTAACCACCATCCCATCCAGTACCAAACATTTTCATCACAACAATAGGAAACCCTGTACCCACTGAGCAGTCACTGTCCATCCGTCCACAACCACGAACTGCCAGCCCTGGGCACCCTCTCTAGTCTGCTTTCTGTCTCTCTGGATTTAGTTATTTATTTCTCTAGCCTCACTGCAATGCATGGGGAACTTCCCATACTAGGGATTGAGCCTATGCTCCCTGTAGTGGAAGCTCAGGGTCTTAGCCCATGGACTACGAGGGAGCCCTGGATTTAGTTATTTTGTTGTCTCATTTTCCATTTTTCCCACAGGACTACTGGCTCTGAGAGTTTATGAGTCAACCCTGATTTACAAAGTGTTCACAGGCTTGAACATTTTGGTTCTCAGCTTCATCATTGTCTCTGGCTTCATTAAGGGAGACCTGGACAACTGGAAGCTCACAGAACAGGACTATACATTGGCAGCTGGAGCTGGTGATGCCTCTAGGTTAGGAGAGCACACTTGGTTGTAGTAATGCATGTGTGTGTGGTGTGCAGAGTTGGGAATATGGTGGGGACTAATGACACCTGAGCTGATGGTCCAAACATGGGGGTCCCTGGAGCCCTGGACTTGTGGTACTAAGGGAGGAGCCCAGTAGAGATGGCCGAACACACCTCACCCACGTTCCTCCTCTTTCCTCCTCTCACCATAGCTTGGGCCTTCTGGGTTCTGGAGGGTTTGTGCCTTTTGACTTTGATGGAATTCTCCAGGGAGCAGCTACATGTTTCTACGCATTTGTTGGCTTTTCTGGCATTGTCACTGCAGGTAACATGGGCCTCGTGTGTCCCATAAGGGGTTTGGGAACAGAATGGGCTGCCCTTGGGCACAGGGGTGGATAGAAGTTTAGGTTGCTTTTGAAGCTTAAAGGGTAAAGTGGGTCTGGTGATTTCACCCCAGTGTGTTTACTGACCCAATACCTCCTACCATCCTGAAGGGAAAAAAGCCAGAAATCCTCAGTGGTCCATGCCCTTTGCTGTCATGATCTCCTTCTTCATCTGCTTTTTGGTGTGTTTTGGTGTCTCGGCGGCCCTCACCCTCATGGTGCCATACTACCTGATTCAGCTAGACAGCCCCTTGCTGCAAGCCTTCGTCTATGTTGGGTGGGACTCTGCCAAATATATCGTGGCTGTTGGCACCCTCTGCATTCTTTCCTACAGGTCAGTGTCATGGTTTTCTCCTCTACTCTCAGATGCTCGGGTATCCGCAGCCCTTGGGACTGAGAGACGAGAGAGAAAGACATCTTGCCCCAGGTAGACTAGGGAACAAAAGCCCCGGTCTCTCCTGTTTCTGCACCTTCTCACACATTCCCGTTTTCTCTTCCAGCCTTCTGAGTATCATGTTTATCATGGCTCAGTTGACCTATGCAATGGCAGAGGATGGGCTCCTTTTCCGGGGACTTGCCTGGATCACTGCCCCCACCGATGCCCCCACCATCATTATCCGCACCACAGATGCCCACATCATTGTCCACACCGTTGCCCCCGCGGGAAACCCCATCATGGCCATCTTGGTTCCTGGAGCTCTTGCAGGTGAACAAACAAAACTCACCCTTTTCAAATCATACTTCTTAACGCGCATTTTTCTAGTGGTTTCTCACTCTCCCCCCACCGTCTTTGCTCCCTCATCCCAGTGGTCATGGCGTTACTCTTCGACTTCACTGACCTGGTGGACCTCATGTCATTTCGATCCCTGCTTGATTACTCCCTGGTGACATTTTCTGTCCTTGTCTTCAGGTGAGACTCCATGACACCTGGACTAGGGGAACAGTCTTTGACTTGTAAGGGTTGATATGGAGGTAATCATCTTCTACCTTCAGGCTGCCTTGTCAATGTCCTGCTACCATTGATTGGGGGAAAAGGCATTAGACAGACTGATGTTGGATCAGCAGTAGGGGCTGTTACTCATATTGCCTTAATATTTCTAATTCAGGTATCAGCCAGCCCAGAACAGAAGCAAGAAGGAGAAAACAGGAGGAAACTGAGATGGAGCCTAAAGTTGAAGGAGGTCCTTTGGAATCTGAACCTGAAGCAGGAATCTCAGGCATTCTAAAGAGCCTGTGGTTCCCTCCCAGCACCATCCCTACCTGGAAATCTGGCCAGATTGTCTATGGATGTGCCTCCCTGCTTGGTGAGCAGTGGGATGTCTCTTTGGTCATATTCTGAAATTGACAGGATGGTACTGGAGTGTGTATTTTGTCAGTTGAGGAGTCTTGGAGATATGATGGCCCTTTCTGATGGCAGCCTGGGGAGGGGTGTGACCCATGGCCCTGACATCTTTGTCGTCTGAGTCCAGCCTGTTCTCCTCCTCCTTGACCCTTGCAGTTCTTCTGCTGATAATCCTGAGCCTGATCCTCTACTGGTGGCCCACCCAGGTGATCTCTGGAGACCCCGTGCTCACAGCAGTGGCTATGCTGCTGCTGCTGCTCATCACTGGGGTCACGGTCATCATCTGGATGCAGCCCCAGGACCCCTCTCCTCTTCCATTCAGGGTAGGTGACCTTATGTGCCCAAAGTGTCCACCCCGAGTGAAGGAGGTCTGTGTGCTTTAGGTCTAAACATCCTTTTCTGGACAGGCAATGAGGGGATTTGCTGAAACCAATGGACTCTTCCCTGATCCACACTCAGAGCTTTACAAACTCAGTCTCAGTAAGCAGTGAGCACACAGTCTGAGAAGAACTGGAGTCTTCCTGCCCACATGGGGTAAGGTCTCCCTTTCAGACATCTAGGGTGTGTTCAGGAATGAACTGACTTTGCTCACAGGTCCCTGCTTTGCCTGCCCTCTTCCTGGTGAGCACCTTTGTGAATGTTTACTTATTGATAGATGACCACTCAGACCTGGGCCCAATTTGGCATCTGGATGGCAATTGGTGAGTGGTTTTCTGGGTTACAGAGGCTTCTTGAGTGATGTAGCCCAATATTCTTCCTACTACATCTCTCCTAAACTGAGTCAGACACCATAATAGGAGGCCTCTTGGGCATTTGTAAGTGAGCAGAGCACCTACTTTCCCTTCTTACTGTCTCATCTCCCTACTAGGATTTGCCATATACTTTGGATATGGGATCCGACACAGCCTGGAGGAGAGCAATGATCAACAGCCAGCAGCCTCCACTTCACAGACTTAAGAGAAACATCCCTAGTGATGAATTGTCTTAACCACAGGACATGGATGTTGTGTGGAATCCCTCCATGCACTGGAGGATCTGCTGGTTTGAGGGGCACTGTGAGCCTCTATGGACTGTGAAGGCAGAATGCATTTACAGCTCTGTATTTATTGCTAGTGGGCAAAGTGACTTTAATGCTGTAAATGCTGACTGAAACATTTAAAAGCATAACACACATCCAGAAAAGTGAATTTTCATGAAAAATGTACAAAAATGTAACCAGAAACCAGAGGAAGAAATAAAATATTAACTTGAACATAAGCACTGCCTCCTTGTGCCTGTTTCCAGTGAAAACACATAAATTGTCACATGGGAAGGAAACACAGGTAACCTTATATTGTGAAAAGAAAGTGAAAGTCGCTCATTGTTTCCAATTCTTTGTGACCCCAAGGACGTTACAGTCCATGGAATTCTCCAGGCCAGAATACTGGAGTGGACAGCCTTTCCCTTCTCCAGTGGATCTTCCCAACTCAGGGATCAAACCCAGGTCTCCCACATTACAGGCAGATTCTTTACCAGCTGAGCCACCAGGGAAGCCCAGTATACTAGAGTGGGTAGACTATCCCTTCTCCAGCGGGTCTTCCTGAGCCAGGTATCGAATCGGGGTCTCCTGCATTGCAGGCAGATTATTTACCAACTGAGCTACCAGGGAAGCCCATATTATGACAAGAGTTGCACTTTAGGGGGCTTTCCTGGCAGTCCAGTGGTTAAGACCTGGCCTTCCTATGCAGGGGGTGCCTGTTTGATCCCTGGTTGTGGAACTAAGATCCCACATGCCTCATGGCCAAAAAACCAGGTCATAAAATGGAAGCAATAAAAACTTTTAAAATGGTCCACATAAAAAAATATATATATTAAAAGCAAAAAAAAAAGAGCTACACTTAAGGTATTCCCTGGAGGTCCAGAAGTTAGGACTCCATGCTTTCACTGCCATGGCCAGGGTTCAGTCCCCAGTCGGGGAACTAAGATTCTAAAAACTGTGCAATGTGGCCAAAAAATAAGGAAAAGAGATTTAAAATGAAGTTAAAATAATTTCACTTTAAAAAAATGAAAATCTAATCAGCTTTATTGGACAACTCATGACTTTAAACATGTTCTCATACTCCTTTTTTTTCTAACTGAGCTTATAAACTCCATATTATTTTTTCTTTAAATATTTGATAGAATTTAAGCAGAGAAGTCATCTGAGCCTGAGCTTTGCTTTGTGGGAGGATTTATAATTACCAATTCATGTTCCTCTTATATGGCAACTCAGATCTTTCTTCAGAAAAAAGAGCTGCAATTTAAACATGAGAAAAGAGATAGGTTGGAAGTGGAAGGTAAGGAACAGAAACATTATGCAAACAATAACAAAGAAAGCTAGCAAAGCAATATTAATATCAGACAAGATAGATTTTAGGAAAAAGAGCATAATAACAGATAAAGTGGGTTATTTTACAGTGAGAAAGATAATAGGTCATTTTCATCTTTTCCTCCAGCTTCGCTGAGTTGTAGAATCACACTGTGTAGTAAGCACTTTACTTTTCTGTCACAGACCCTTAGATTACACAGTAGGGTTGATGAGGAAAAGTACTTAAATGAAAAACAAAAACAAAACAAAGCCTCCTGCATTGCCAGAGGTGGGTGAAGGGGATGGGAAGTAGTGGTTGATTGATAAATGCTTACAGTTTAGTGGAACTTAAGGATGGGATGTGAAATGGGGAAGTCAAAATAAAAAGGTGTTGCTGCAGAACAGAATGCTTGAAATTGAGATTATAGACATTGAAGATTTTGGTATTAATGAAATGGAGGACTGTTTGTGGGAAATGGCAACTGAAGTAGAGTGAAGGAGAGCTGGAGGTCAAGATATTGAGTAGCAAAGTTATTCAGTACAGTTCTGTCACTCAGTCGTGTTGAACTCTGTGACCCCATGGACTGCAGCACTCCAGGCCTCCCTGTCCATCACCAACTCCCGGAGTTTACTCACACTCATGTCCATCCAGTCGGCGATGCCATCCAACCTTCTCTTCCTCTGTCATCCCCTTCTCCTCCTGCCTTCAATCTTTCCCAGCCTCAGGGTCTTTTCAAATGAGTCAGTTCTTCACATCAGGTGGCCAAAGTATTGTCATTAAAACAAACCAAAGTTATTAAATGGATTTAAAGACAGATGGAGGAGGATGAACAGAATTAGGCAAAGTCACTGTCTTGCAAGTTCTAATGAAATCAGATTTAGGACACAATTAATGTGACTGATTCTGTCAGGTGAAACTCTGATGGAAGAGGCTGACATCACCTGATCGCTGGTCTTCCCGTACCGCTGGGGGACAACCAG